TAAGCAAGTTGTAATTCGTAGATCCTAAATCAGAGATCATTTGTCTGGATTTCACAGTGATAAAAAATTTACTCAAAAAGGGTTTCAGGACAAAGGCTTGTGACCCTAGGATTTGGCTTGGAATGTTGGATTTCGATTGAATTTTGGAATCGACTGGTTGAGTTTGAATTATCCGCATCAATGAAAACAAAATAAATAATTGAGATTGATTGTATATGATTTGAGAGTTGATTGAAAGTTGGTTGAAAGTTAGTCTGAGAATTGAATTGGGGGGTAGAGCTGGATTTGATTGGACTTTGATTTGTTTTCTTTTTCTTTTTCTTTTTCCAAGGACCTATATGGCTAAGAAGTGAATATCTTCTAGTCATTGGCTCACCAGAAAGAAATCCAAGTGGGTTCTAGTGACCTCGTTTTATGTTTAGACCTAATCTTCTTGAAGTTTATTTATTTTATTATGAATTCTAATAGGGAGAAGGATTCAAGAAATTTATTTATTTTCTGATTAGTTGTTTCTCGATCAATTTCTTATGGAAAGAACGAAATAATAAAAGATTTGTAGGGGATTATAAATGTATGGCAACTGTTGGAAGGTTGATAAATAATGCTATTCTAGCAAAGATTATCTGCTGGAAAGTATTTCATAAAATTAAGCATTTGGTCAATTAATTTTCTTTGCTTTGATTAGATTTTACTAGATTCTTTGCTGTTGTCTTATATTTGATATTTCAGTTGAAAGTGATGGGTTGGAGTTTCTCTGTTGATAAAGGGTTGAAGTTGTTTTTGAATGAATACCGAAAGTTCTGGTTGGTCATTGCTTTTTCAGATGGCCTCTTTTTTGGCTGGTTATTCTCAAAAATTTTGATTGGTTCCTTGGCAACTAATTCTCAAAAAATTTGGGAATTGAAAGTGCTAGGCTAGAAATTCTCTGTTGATGAAGGGCTGAAGTTGTTTGGATTGGAAATTGAAAGTTTTGGCATATCTTCATTTTTTTTTTTGGATGGCTTTTGTTTTGGCAGATTTTCAGGACTATGATGATCTAGTTTAAATTTTGGTTGGTTTCATAGCAACCAATTTTTCAAGAAATTTGGAAGGTCAGCATTAACGAGATTTGGCTAATCAAGTTTTATGTTTTATTTAAACAAGAGATTGCCAATTATCTTGAGTAGTCGTCTTTTAAAAGTGTCCCCTTCATATCTGATGCTCTTAGATGATGAACCTTCACAAACCATTCAGTCCCTTTGGTGCTTAATTTCTTAAGAAAGGTCTTATTTGTAGTCTTTAAGTTTTATTGCTTAGTTTTTTTTTTTTTTTTTAGGGGATTTTTTTTTTTTTAGCGGATTTGTAAGTTTTTTTCTTACTTTTTTTATCATAATTTTTTTTTTGTAATCTATTCATTTGTGAATGAAATTGGGCATGATTGCTCTTGATTTTTCAAAAAATAAAAAATCTAGAATAAAAGTTAAGTCAAATTTTTAAAAGGAGCATGCTTAAAACTTAATTAAATGAAAGAAGCATAATCATTAAAAAAATTAAAAGAGAAAATTTGTCAAATTATTTGACGTAGTATAAATACGTCAAATGATTTAGCAAGTTTAAGATATGTCAAATCATTTGGCGTATTCGCCTAAAGAGAGAAAGTGAAAGGGAGGGGAGAGGACGGTGCTAGAGAGAGAGAGGAGAGGAGAGAGGGAGAGTAATAATTAATAGGGTAAATTTTTAAAATAATTATCATTAAAAGTTTAATTAGTTATTAAACCAATAAAAATATTAAATTTAGAACTAGCCAAAGTCGCCCACTGATTGGGTGACTTGCTCAAATTATAAAATATTAAAAAAAGATTTTAGGATAGAAAGTAGGAGAGAGAAATAAATTAAAGGGACAAATTAAATGATGAGATATAGAAATAAATTATGAGATATAAATAAAAAAATCCAAAACAAATTTTTTTTTCCATGTTGTCTGGGCTAGGTGGTATATAAGATTTTTTTTAAAATTTTTTTAAGAAAATCTTATATGCAAATATTTGTTCTTATTTTTAATAAATAATTTAGAATGAAAAATTTTTAATGAGTTATTACGTGTCAAAAAATTTCATAATTTAATTTATCATAATCAATTTAAAAACACATATTTTTTAATAATTTTTTATTCATGATAAATTATCATTATTTTATATTTATCTTGTACGTTCCAAAGAAAATAATATTTTAAATAAATATTTATCTTACTTTTTCATTAAATTTAGAGTGTAACTTAATTGTATTAAATACAAATAAAAAACTTCATTATATTTTTCATTAAATTTAGAAGTAACGTGATTAAAAAAAAAATTATAAAAATCACGCTATATTTATTAAAATTATATTTAGTATTTATTAGTATTACTGTTGATTTGACATATTATGAACTCCTAAAATCATTTGATGTATTTAGATTATGCCAAATAATTTGATGAATCTATTCTTTTTAAATTTTTAATAATTTTACTTCTTATAATTAATTAAATTATAAAGATGCTATTTTTAAAATTCTGTCTTAAATTTAGCTGTTTTCTTTGGCAAAATAAAATTTAGAAGTCTTCTTTTTTTTTTTTTTTGAGAATTGCAAAAGATGCATTAAAAGATCAAAGGTAAAAAACTAGGTACAAGCTAAATGTAAGGTTCACATTCCTTCTTCAATAACCTAGATAAGGAAGAAGGAATGCTATCAAAAGAAGAATTATCAAAAAAGAAATTATTCTCAATAGCCAAAGTAGCACAACTATCCGCTACCTTGTTACAGCTTCTATGAACATGATAAACGATTACCTTGTTGAAGTCGGCTAGGAAGATGTAATCCTTGTCCTCCCAATTATTGAGTCTCCATGCATTTTTATTCAAAGAATTTTGAATGTATTGTATGATGTTGTACTTATCACCTTCAATTATTATACCTTTGCTCTCTAGCATCCACCTTTGTATGTATTTTCGAATCATCAAAATAGCCTCCATTTCAAGCTGTGCCACGTCCCAATGAACTCTTTTCTCCCCGAACGCAAGCAATAACCTGACTTTGAAGTCTCGAAAGACTCCACCAATTCCCGCACTATTAGTCTTCAACAAAGATGCATCAACATTCACCTTAATCTAATCTAGAGGTGAAGGGTGCCACTTCAATTGAGACTCCCTAAGGAGATTAGCACCCCAGCTATCTAGCATTGGATTAGCTTTTGTCATTGCTATAGACAAAACATTGGCTGCAATCATAGAGCGTCCAAGAGTTGGCTTGCCATGGACTTTTCTATTCCTTTCCTTCCAGCATTCATGAACCGTCGAGCAATACAATTTGACTATGCTAGAGCAAGTTATCGACTTCCTTCTCAGCTTCGTCAGACATTCCTCTAGTGAGCAGAAAATTGGGATCATAAATCTCCAGTTTTGCAATTTCAGGATTATCTCCTTTAAATACTTACAGTGAACCACGATATGCTCAATTAATGTCCTCCACATGCTGACAGCCCCGTGCACATAAGACATGATTGGTAAGATTCCTATAATTGAGAAACTCATAGGTTGGTATTGCAAACTTGCTCAACCTCCACCAAAACAGTTCTACACGAGGTTGTAATTTAACTTTTTTGAGCCAACTTGAAAAAACAAAGTCTCCCTCTCCCCTATCACCATCAGTAGCATTTTCATAGGCCATAGCTGTAATAGTTTTCCCCGAAAGCTGTTTGATTTCCTCCATGTAATATGCATCATCATTATGATTAATTGGAATATGTAAAATAATTGATATAAGGTCCTCATTGAAGAAATCCTGCAGCCTCTCCTTGTCCCAGTCACCGTTCCAGGATATGAGTTGGTCAAGCATAACATCTTCCAACCTTGTGCTGTCAATAAATGGCCACAACCCCAAGCTTTTATCTAGCATCCAAACATCCTTGAGGACATTGATCTTCCTCCCATTAGCCACTCTCCATTTCAGCAAAGGTTTCAGAAACTTTCCTCCTTCTTTTAATACTTTCCAAGCAATAGACGCTCCTTGTTTAACTCCCATATCAAACATAATATTACCATATCTGCTAATCATAATTTTGTGCAAAGGAGCTTCCGGATTATTTAAGAATCGCCAAGCCAATCTTGCCTTAAGTGGACATGCTCTTTTGATTGCTGAATGAAAGCTTAACCCGCCAGCATCCCTCGGTCTACAGAGCTCGGACCAAGAGACAGTGTAATCCCTTATTTCCATTGCTTTTATGCCACACAAACTCTCTGCAACATTTATCCACTTCATACAACACCTTCTTTGGAACCATCATATGAGTTGATAAAAAACTTGGGACAGTTAATAAAGATGTCATGGCAAACGTTATCTTACCAGCCAAAGATAAGTTCTTACTCCCCCAAGAGTTCAGCTTATGTAATACCTTATTCAGGACATCTTGAAAATCAGCCTTTAACATTCTTCTCAAAGTGATCTTAACTCCAAGGTAATGAAATTCCTTCGTTTCCTTGTATCCCAGAATTTCTTTAACCCAATTTTTATTTGAGCGGCAAGTGGCAGTGCTAAATAGAATTTGAGATTTCAAAATATTAACATTCAGACTTGTCCAAGAGCAGAAGCCCGTAACAATTGATTGAAGGGTTTTAGCCACCTTCATTGATGCTTGAGCAAAGATCAAAACGTCATCAGCATACAACAAATGAGAAATCTTTTTAGTTCTTGGTGATATTTGAATTCCTAAATCACTTCCCCTTTGCTCCATTGCATTTGACAGTAGCTGAGAACACATGATGAACAGGAACTTTTATTTTATCCTGTGAACGTACGCTCCTCTACGTTCGGATCTAGGCAAAAAAAGCGCAATACCGAGTACCGAGTTGTACCAAGTTTTTTAAAAAAACTCGGTATTGTGCTGTTTTGATCTAAAACCGAACGTAGAGGAGCGTATGTTCACTGGATGTAATAAAAGTTCGATGAACAGATACGGGGAGAGAGGAAAAATTTAGAAGTCTTCATGATTTTTTTTCCGTTATTTTTTTTTTTAAACGAAGAAAAGAGTAAACTTTCTGTATGAACTGTTATGCCTGTACCTTCGACATTCGAGCTTTTGATACATCTTGAACTGCTTGCAGGAAAACTAGTCTTTCCCTCTTCGATCCTTCATCTTGCAGCGAGGAATAGGAAAGTCGTATACCCTTGTTGATCCGGCAGTCCAATAAATCTTGGGTAGCTCATGTTTCCATCGTAAATCCTCTGACCTTCGACGGAATGAGTGGAGGAAGCCGAGTAACGGCTCGTAACCGTACGAAGCCCCGGGCCGGCGACGGCGATTCATCTACAAATAATCAAGGAGCCACAGTCGGGAGAGGAAGGGGGAAAAGCCGCGATCATGGTCCTCTCCATATCATGGACGTGAAGGTTCGGACGCTTCTAGGGATAGGTTTTAGTTTCCTTGCTCTCTTTCTCGTTTCATTCTTGCTCTACAATCGCCAAGCGCGAACCGAGGAAGATGTTGAGTTTCGAAAGTTGAAGAGAGTTGTCACACCCTTGCCCGCCCCCAGGATGTTGGATTTGCCCCAGGTGAGAAAATTTGATTGGAAGTGGCGAAAAGTTATGAAATTGTTGGTTATTTCTTGCTGTAGTAGTGAAAGTTTTGATTTTTAATGAAAAAGGCTTGCTTTTGAGATTTTATGCACAAATTGGTGTTCAGTTCCAGGGAGGGCACAAGGAAAGCTTGTATTGGGGTACGTACAGGCCTCATGTATACCTTGGGATCCGTGCAAGGTAATTTTCAATTATCGACAACTTGTCTTTGCATCATCTTCTTCAAATGACTGTCTGCGTGATGTCTCTAGTGGTGATCTTGAGAGTAAGCTGGTATCTTTAGGAGCTGTTTGGCTTAAGTAGGATTTAAATCAAATAGGATTTATTTGTAAATACAGATTTAGTGAAGTCTTGATAGGGATTAAAATGTAAAATTGTTTGAGATAATAACTGTTAAATTTTGTTAACTTTTGATAAATTGCTTGGCTATTTGTTTTAGGATTTAAGATTTATGAGAGGGAGAAATCCTTAAATCCTGTGAATGATGTGATTTAACAAATTACGATTTTAACTGACAGTAGGGTTGAAATGAGACTTATTGAAATTGTAGTATTTGAATTCCTCAAATTCTATTTGGCTGATTTACAAAAGCTTGCTTAAATCCTGCCTAAAATAGGATACCGAAGCTGTAGATTAGTAAAGATAATTCATGCTCTAGTAGGCATTGCTGTTAGTCTATACATCTTCAATTTGAAACCTTTGCTTTTTGAGAACTTTGAAAATGTTGGTAAAAAATCATCATTTATTCCAATTATCGTTAATTGGCCTGCTTACTTGGCCATGGAATTCATGCCAGAACAATGTTTTTACTCGCTTCCTTTTTTCAGAACCCCAAAGTCATTAATTGCTGGACTAATGTGGATTGGCATGAAGGATGGGCAATATTTACTACGACATGTATGCCAGGACTCTGATGTTCTTAACACATATGGCTGGATTGAACATAATGGTCGAGATTATGGTCGTCAGGTGTTGGTGGATCAGGCTTTATCTTTAACTACTAGTTTCTTAAAGGAGAATGGAAATGGTAGCGGTTTTGGAGGAGATTGGGCTGTAAGATTAGAAGCAGATAATGTGAAGTAAGTTTGACCTCTTTGCTGAATGAAAATGAACATCAAGTAAGAATCCCTGCTGGTTTCCATCGGTTTGTCTTGTTAGGCTTAGCACATTGGGTTATACATTAAATTCTTAATTCAATGTTTTGTGTTCTTATGCAATGATCATCTTTTTTTCCCCCATGCTCTATTTTTTGTGGCACAATGATGCATGCTAGTTTTTTTAATGATGCTTAATGTAATATAGTAATTTACCAGCATGACTTATTTATCGTTGTATGTGAATTCTTGTGTTTTATGTTTTAGAGATACTTTGGATAACACTTTGGGTAGTGATGGTAAATGATGGGTTTATAATTACTTTGGGTGCACATATACTTGGTTAACTCTGTTTTTTTCACATGTGCCACGACTTGAGCATCAAATCTTTTCATTCTCTAAAAAAAATGAAAACAAATCTAAATGGAAGAAATAGCTTAGCATATGTATTATGCTAGATATTCTGAAAACATGCTACAAACTTTGCTTATGATATAGGTTGAGATGGGATTGATTCTTAATGATTTATGGGGATTTTGAAAAGTCATATTTATTTCTTTCATGCTTAGTATGGTTGGCTATTAATTACTTATTTTTAATGTTATGTCTAGTATTCTCTAGTTGAGTCAAATTTGATGTGGGTTAAGATAACTATTCTATTAAATAGAATATTATAAAAGTTTTAGTAAATAAGGAGACATAGTGATGGAATGAGGAGGTTCAAAAGGTAATAAAGTGAAATAAATGTCAGTTTAAGGATAGACAAAAAGTAAGTAATATCAAGATGTATAATGATTCTATGGAAGCTGATGGTCTTGTAAGAGGGTAGTGAGTAAAGCACAAATTATAACTTTTGATGATTTATATAATAGGTTACATGCTTAAGAATATAAAAATATGTATGTACTTATGTATGTATATATGTGTGTATATCTACACACATGCACACACACCCACACAAAGAGATCTTAGGAATTGTCAGTTAGATGTATTAAAGTGATGAAGATATAATCTTTGTTGAAATAAAAGAGTCAACAAAGGTGAAGTTATTACTTTTAAGAAATACTTAGATTGGGATTTTAATGAAACACACTTTTTGGAAGAGCATGATGAACAAAATAATGAGGTCTATTATAAATTGGTCTTAAAAAGTGAAGTAGAATTAACCATGAAGAAGATGTCTAAAGGTAAACCCTTTGGGTTTAGAAGATATTATTATTGAGATTCAAATAATTATTAGTGATATTGTAGTTTGGTTACAAAAAATTCATTGAAATTGTAATAGCTAAAAGAATGTCAAATGATTGAAAAAGAACCATTTTGATACTAGTATTCAAGAACCAAAAAAAAAAAAAATAGTATTGTGGTAACTACTGGGAATAGAACTTATGAATGATACATGAGGTTGTTAGAAAGGGTCATGAAAAATATACTAAAAAAATTGCGTTGATATATGATAATTTCATCTTATGCTAGAAAAATTCACCATGGATGTAAATTTTGTGTTGAAACAATTATTAGAAAAATATAAAGTAATAAAAGGATTTTTTTATTGTTTTTACTAAAATTAAGGAATTGGTTGAGTACCATGATAATTGATTTGATATGTATTTTGAAAAAAAGGACTTTGCCAAAAGTATTTTCAAATTATTAAATATCTGTTTGATGAGATGTTGACTATAATTAGTAGTTGTTGAGTTATTAATGAGTTCCGAATTATTGTAGGTTTGCATTGAAGTTTAATATTAAATCCACATTATTATTTTTGTTATGAAGATGCTTATAAAGAATGTTCAAAGTGAGTTATCTTGGTGTAAATTTTTTTACTGATGATAAGTTCTAATTGATGATATCTTTGTTGAAATAAGTGGAAAGCTAGAAAAATGGAGAAATTTTTTGGAAGATAAATGGATAATCTTTACTAAATAAAAGTTATATATGTAAATTTAGTGGTTGTGATGTTATAGTTTGAAGGGTCTCAATTGGGCTTCTCAAGCCAACTTAAGCACTTTAAATGAATACCTCTAAAACCCATCAGTCGCTTGGCTTAACATAGTTTATGATGTGCATCATCATGAGATCAATTTCAGCTTTGCCTAAAATATAAGATATTTCTCCAATAAAAATAATGTTAAAAAGTCAAATCAAAATTGACTTATACATTTTTGTTTCTAATTTTGAGCGAGTGCGGTGGACTAAAAAAATTCTATATTTAAATATGTTAGTTATACGTATGATAGTTGATTTGGTAACCTATGTTTATGTAAATATCTTTACACAAATCTATCTGACTAAATATGAAAAACATATTTTATCCTTGATACATAAATATACAGAGTAGTTCAATAAAAGTTAGTTATTTTGATTAAGATTATATATTAATTTAGGAGCATATTATTTTGGCAAAGTAGATAATTAACATACTTGGAAGTGAATATAAAAGAAATTGCAAATCTAAAATGCTATAAGTAAATATGAGATGGCATGCCATGCATTTAACAACTTGACAATAACATAAATGTAGGCTTATTAGAAGGGTGTAAAATTACTCAAAATGAATGGCAAACAAATTTTAAAGTTTTTGATATGATAAATGATGATTTATCATTGTTGTTATACATAATGCTATAGAAAGAAAAAAGATTTGTTTCCATTAAAATTAGGGTTTCTTTGGGCAGTTTTTCCATTGCTTTGCTTTTTAGATTGTAGTCATGCTACCATTTGGCTCCTTTTCAAAATAATTTATGGTTTAAAACTGCTTTTTACTACCAGATCTACAAAAGTGTGATGGCTACTATGATGTACATACATGAACACGACGACACATACACGACATGACTCAGACACGAGACACTTCAATTATTAAAAATATAGGACATTGACACATGTTGGATACGGTACTATCATTGTTATATATTAAAAATAGTTCATAGAAATTTAATAACAACAACAACAAAAACATCGAGCCTTTGTCCCACTACATGGCGTTGGCAAATTAAACTGTAAAACTGGAAAAATGGACGCCAAAACCCAAAGAAAAATTGAGTAAGAAGAATGTTAAAAATAATTGAGAAATAATTAATCATTTAACTATAATATGTGCTTAAAATGGTTAATATTAGAATGTTATGAGTTGGAAGTCAATGTCTTATTTCAAGCGTTGAGAGGTGAGACGATAATGTTATCAAGAGTAGGGTATTGAGCGTTGATGTCGAGACAATGTCGGTCATCTAAGGTTGAGATGATGTTGGTAAAAAAGATGAGATACCAAGATGACACTAGGGCATGTTTGTGGGGGTAGAAATTTCTAGCATCAAACTTTGATTTTCAGATGGTTTTGAAACACTGATATTTTAATAGCATTAGACGTCGATGTTGCGATGACAACGAGCATTGTTGTGAAACCTTAGCTGCGATATGTAGATAGAAATGAAAATTGTATGTTCAGGGATTGGGTTATTGAGGTCGGGCAATTGATTTGGGGCTGTTGAGAGAAAATAAAAGATTTAAATTTTTATTCTTAACAAATAAAAATTCGAAATATAAGAAATTATATTAAAAAATATAAATATTTAAGACACGAATATCTAATTTATTTTTAATATTTTTTTTAATCGGACATGCCGATACATATCAGAGGTGTGTCATGTCCATTACGTGCCGGACATTGCTTACCTTCTTGAGGAGAAGTGTTGGGGCATCATAGGATGACTATAATAAAGTTATTATTCGAAAAGAATGCATTGATGATATCTACATTGGCTTTTTAAAAAGTTCGCTTTCTTCGCAATAGCTTTGCAACAATCGTTATGAAAAACTGCAGCTGCCTCAAACAAACCCTTAGCATAGAAAGAAGTTGGTCTTTGGCAAGTAAACTGAACCACCATTCTTTTGTAATTGCGTTGTAAGAAATACATTTATGACTTGCCTCAAATATATAAGGCCCAGCCCTTTATTATATATAAGAATGAAGATATAATCGGGGATATGCATTTTAGAGTTAGGGCTTCTTGATTGAGATGGGCAACTACCTCAAGAGTATTTTATACTAACATAATATCATGGAGACTTAATGGAGATATTATAAATTTGCAATTATGCCATCTAGGTTGTATGGATCTTGAGCTTTGGATATGAGAGAAGTTATTGATAAGCAAGTTGAGCCTAGAAGAAAGAAGAATGTTAAGATGGATGTGTGACAATACTAGAAAGGATGGGTTAAGAAGAGATTATATTAAAGGGATGATGAGCTATTTTGATGCAATTATTAATTTTTATGATGCTTTTGTTTATTTTTACTGCAAGCATGATATATGGCCCTTGAATGCTAAAATTGTTAAGCCATTGCATTAGAATTATCACTGTATTTATGTAGAAGAAGAGTGATATTGTCCCTTAAATATCTTTTAAGTGAATGCTCATATATAAGAGGGTATGTGTTTGTATGGTTATAGTGCAATAATAAATCAATCAATGTTCAGAGACTTGCTACTATTTTCTTACTGAAGTATTAGGAGTTGGACAAGATCATTAATAAATGCAGGATAAGAGTCTTTTGTTTTGACTTTTCCTCCACAAGTCATGTCAAACTGATTAGATTATTTGTGGAGACCAGCTAGCCATGGGGTCATAAACTAGCTGCTATAATAAAATCTATTTCTTATGATCTTTATTTCATCAGATCTATATCAGATGAAGCAAAGTGGAGTTCTGCACATCTTTTCTTCTATATAGCTGATGAGGAAGGGAATTCTCTTACTCTAGGAAGAGAGGAATTTGAATTACACGATGACATTCTTTTGTCTTCTGGTTTGCGTGGGGATGTCGGAGGATGGGAAGTTCATTTGAAATCAAAGGTATGGATATTAGGATTGTTACCTTTTGCGGTTACCTCTTGGACTTTTGGACTCTTCCCGTAATGAACTTTATATGTGTGTGCATGCACACGTTTGTTTGTGCTTATTTTTCTTTTATGCTTCTATCATACTTTGTTAAGGGTTGTGTTTGTTGAATTTATAAATCTAACTATACTTGATATTGCAGAGCAGACGTAATATTCTTTTAGTTGATCACAGTATGAAAAATACATATGCAGAAGTAGCGCTGCATTTGTTGGTTATGACCCACCGTCCCCTCCCCACCAAAATCAATGTTCTGTTAAAATTGTTGCTTTTGCGAAGTCTTATAGTTTCTGTGACTATTTCTGCAATTCGATATGCGGACTAGTGTTGATCATGTGAGAGAGATTCTATTTAAAGTTCATTAACATTTTATTTTTTCTCATATTATTTTTTTTTCGTAAGTAATTCTTCCACTGCTTAGTCATGCAAACATGACTCCAGTGATACCTCTCTAAACCTGGTAAGATATTTATTTATCAGTCACCGAGTTTTATTGTCTTGCTCTTATTTGTCATTCTTTAGGCATGTTTTCTCCGTAATCTCTGCACTCCTTGAAAGTCGAGTTTTTTGTTCATAAAAAATTAATAATTGTTTAATCATCATACAAGTTTTTTTAGCACTTCGATGTTTTAATTAAAAACAACCCAATCTCCTTTGCATCCCTTATTCCCCATTGGATCTCTCCTTGTTCGTGCATTATTCCCTAATGATTTGCCTTTAATTCTACATGTTTTTAGCAAGATTGATTTCATACTGTTCTTACTCATGACTCTAAGTGTGGTCTTGATTGTAAGAAAAATAACTTGCTTTCTTTAGTAGAGACGCTTTCTTTCTAGTTTCACTTTTTGTACAAGTGTTATATAAATTATTAAAGCCAATTATGTTTAATCTTGGCAGATCTATTCTAACTATGATTTTTCCTAGCAAAACAGCCCAAACTTAGCTCTTTTTAAGCTTGGTCTGCATTACCAAAACAAAACCATCATCCTCTTGCTTGACATTGCATTAGGCGGGCGCACTTACATATTGATTTCCACATTCTTTCATAATTTCACTCATCGTATAAGTGTGGTCTAGGTCATTAAAACCAATCATTGGCATTCCTGTCTTCCTTTTCAATTTCGATCTGAATAAGATTTGGATAAAGAAAACCTATTATATACCTATAGCATGTTCTAATGATCTTATTCCCAAACATTATTGCCTAAAGATTTTTTTTTGTTATCTCCATTTATTTTATTAAATGCCTAAAAAAATTCATCAAATATGAATTAAAACTATAATTTTATTAAATGGCTTAAACAATTCATCAAATATGAATTAAAACTATAATTTCTTCTGATTCATTAGTTGAGACTTTTATCTAGAGCTTTAGTGGTTGAGAAACGTTACAATATCGGGACTAATGCTCCTATGGTTAAAAAAAAAAAAAAGCTCCTATGGTTGATATTTTGAAAGAAAAAAAAAATATTGTTATTTAAGCCTTCTAAGCGCAAAAAATTATAAGAATCATATATGACTAAATTTGATCATATCAAAGAAACTATAGTTTGTGAGTATTCATCAATTGATGTTTTGGTTGTAGAAAATACTTTACTGTTGCAAGATGATTATACATTTGATTTTTTTTGAAGCTAAATCATAGTCTACACTAGGAGATGATCATGAACTTAAAAAAAAATAAAAATGATCATGAACTTAAAGTTAAACTAGCATAGAATATGAATTTGAAATTGAATTTTAATATGTGATCATTTCTTAACCTAAACATTAATTAGAAAACGAATTTATCCTTAATCATGAAATAAACCAATTTATGCCTACTGAAGTTGTTAAATCTTGAACAAATTGGTATAATAATCCCTAAGATGTTATATAATTTTGTCATTTCGATGAAAAATGATCACATTGATTTTGATTTTATTTTTTGTTATTGGTTTGTTGATTTACATTTATAAAAAAGATCTTATGGAGAAAGTAAAACTGCATCAACATTTCAATGAACTTAATTAATGATGATTGCTTTCAAGAAAACTTGAAATTTAAAATTCATTCTATTAGGTCTAATCCAAATTTTAATCTTGACTAATATTTAACCATCTATATTATTTTTATTTAAAGAGACATCATATTTTTGTGGTTTTTTTATCATGAAATTTAATGAATATTAAATTTAAAATTTTATTCATTATCTCGTCTCCATGGAATAAGTTATAATGTCTTCATCATGATATATATAATTATTTTAGCATTTTTATTATTGGCATCTTATCATTTTGCTTCACCCATTAGTTATTTACATGTGTTGCACGAAAATATTTGATGAAAATTTAATGTTAATTGTGAGGATTATACTCTTACTATAAATTTAACCTCAAGATATGTAAAGTTTAACTTAGCGTATAAGGTAATGATTTGTCTGCACTATATCATGTAAGAATTTTGAAGAAATTAGTTACAACAAATATGATTTATATAAATTCATATGGATTGTCATGGATATTTATATATGATATAAATCCCAAAAAATACTTTTATTAGCCCAATTTTTAATATATTTGATTAGACTTTATATTATGAACTATCAACTAATATCTTGAATTCTTTTCTTTGTTCACCCGAAGATATCATCTACATAAATCTCAAACTTTTATACTAATTATATTCCTAAAGTTATTATTGGAGGTGAATGAAATCTTGTCCACTACTGATGGTTGGTAGTGGAAATACCTTGTGTAATGGAGAGATAAACTCGCATGAATTTAAAGGCCATGTTTAGATATATTGGAAGAACATCAGCTAAATGATTCATTGTAGTCAATTTTTTTTCAAGTTCAATAGATGTGAGACATGACTTTGGGCGATGGTCTTTGAAGTTAGCAACTGGGTGCTTGTAATGGGTTTCTTTGGCTATCCTATGGCTAAAGCAAACCAAGCTTTGTCAATAGGGTCTTTATATTGATAATTGACGATTCTTTGTTTTAACAGAGCATTCCCATGGATGTAGTGATCCAAATACTATTTTTTCTATGCTTACAGCATGCTTTTATTGTAAATCTTATTGCTTATTGTTGAAAAAAGGTTGGAGGATTTCTTTGTATCTTCATTTGATTGTAGAGTTTTCATGCTTCTAGATTTCTACATGTTATTTCTAATTGAGACTATTAAATTTTCATCTACATTAGCAAATCCTAATTTCTAAGACATCTTGTATCACTATCCCGCAACAAAAAATGTTCTTCATCAATTCTTTAGCATCTGCATCATTTTATTTCTATGAGAACTAAAGTTTGATGAACAATTATGATATCATAACACATAAAATGGTGGACCATTAACTGAAAATTCTTGCATTCATCACAATACAAATAGAAACGAATGTGAGAGGACAAATGAGAAGCGCAGGATCACATACCCTGATAATTCTCTTTCTAGTTACCGGGCATTTTGACCCACTTGCCCTTCTCTTTGTGTAAATCAAACCATAAAAAAAACCTAAACGAAGAAAATCTTGACTTCAAAAAAAAGGGATTAAGTATGCCGCAACAACAAATAGGAGTGAATAAAATTTTTAGAAAAAATGAAAGCCAAAGTAAAAAGGATCCGAGGACTGCGATCAAACCACCTTATAAATAATTAATGGCATATGCAGTAGATTCTTTACATGAAGGTCACAATAGATAAGATCTTTACCCAGGTTTTGACAACCTTGGTTTGGTTAGACTTTGTGGCATAGTTGTGTTGCTTTCTTTAGGTGAGATGGTGCACTATCTTCCGCTTCTCTCCAAGAGCTTTTCCTTGCCACTCACCTTGACCTCCACCTCCTTCTGGAACCATGATCCAGAGAAAGACGTAAGATGTAGGGAAAGGAGGTGGAGCTGAACTGAACAAATTAGGTCGTATCTCTTATAGTAAGCCCTTTTTTTTTGTAGCCCCCCGCCAATCCGTACTTTGAGGGAATAAAAATGGATAGGACAAAAATAACATGCTTAGAATTTGACAAGTTGTGCAAAAAGATTTTCTCTCGATAAAGTTTACAGTGTATGTACCACTGAACAAGAATGAATGGTGTAATTTTTTCGTAAGGTTTACACCAAATAGTTGGGAGAAAGTATATGATGATGCCATAATATGCACCATGGGTTGCAATTGTCATATTATTTCTGAAGGATTTCCTTGGTGCAGCCAATTGTGCTTTTAAAGGCATTACATCTTTTAGGATAAGTTTAAAATTTTTTACCTTAATTCTTGTGACTTATTTTAAGTTTCACTTTGCATATATTACAAACATTTTCTTTTCCATCTCTTTTTTCTTTTCAGGATAAAATTGAAGTCCATTACGCAGGCTTCAAGACACTCCACACGCACAACTTAACTGAGCTGGTTCAGGCCACTCTTGCTTTTAATGTATGTTGAGATATTGTACCAGATTACCCTCAGTTAAGATTCATCAATGTAAAGCTTTCTAAGTTGTTGCTTATGATTTTTCATTTGTAAGCAATTCAATTTGCAGGCAAGAAGCACTGGGCTTCTCGCTCTACCAGATGCTTTAGAAGGTTCTCCCAACATCCTTGTTTTTCAGGTTTTACAATTTCCTCATGCCCATTCAAGTTTCTTTGACTAATAATTAAGTTATACGTTGCAATTGTTTCGTTTGTATCTCTAAATTCAGTGAAGTTGTTAAACTATTATTCTCTTTATCTTTCATTATCAATCTTGGAAACCCTTAGGCTATCTGGTCACTTCTGTAGGAAACCATGTGCATACATTGTAGCTACATCTTTAAATTTATGATGTTTTATTTTTATGAATATTTATGCCATTATCCTATTTTCTCATGAGTATTTGACAATCAAACATCTCATTTTTTTGGCATTTGTTGGCAGTTTTCTGTGAAGCTCCCTTCAGTTTTGGATATAGTTTTTGTATCGGGAACTGATTCCAAGAGCTCAAGGATCATTGATCGAATCAATTATCTTACAGGTACTCTTCCTTGCGTAGAAGAAAGCTCACAGCCTTGAGCGGCATGCATATAATACAAATATGCATGCACACAAAGCGTTTGTGTATATATGTGTATATATATATATATATAATTTATTTCTCATATTCAATAACTTTAAGACTTCTGTGTTTACATACATGGTAAAGTGATAGTATTATATTATTACTTTGTGAGGCGAATTGCAACAGTCAACACATTTTTTTTGTTCTTTGTGATAGTTCCTAAAAACTATTGGTGCGTAGCTATTGATTAATTACCATTGGTGCAACACTATTGTATCAATTTATTCAATATCAAGAGGCATATATTAGATAATCCATTAGGGAAAAATATTGGAGAACATGAGAGAGAGAAAAGGGAAGATATCTTAAGGGGAGAGTGAGATAGAGAGAATAAGCTTTGGAAATTTCAGTTCAATATTCATTATCTTTTTTAGTCAACTTGAGCACTTTGTTTTTTTAACTTGAGCACTCTGTTAATATATGATAAGGCCTTACTAGAGAAGCAGACCAAATATTAGGACATTGACTATTTTTCTTGCCAAAGAAGATATCTTAAACATAGAAAAATACTTGGTACTCAACAAAATGATAATATAACAAAATGAAAGATTTTAATGTGCTTCATGATTATCTTATTTGGAGGACTAGTGCTGGGGCATGATGGGGTTGCCAATGGGGAGCAGCAGGGTTACCTATGACGGAGCAGCAGGGTTGTTGGCGGGAGCGTAGTGTGTTCTAGTTAGGAGTTCAATTCATGGTTGGGTTGTAATAGGGTCATATTCACTTGATTTCAAATGCCTCCAATCTAGATAAATTCAAAAATTGCTTGATTTGGTTAAATTCCAAATTCATTAAAAATGGCCTTTTGTTACAAATCCTCTTCAAATATACTTTTTTTTTTGTTCAAGCCAAACATTAAAACACATGTATTTCTTTTACTTTACACCTAATAAATCAAAAGGAACGGCTCTCTAATAACATCTGGTGGAAAATTTTAGTTTTTGGATTTAATTGGGGATCCCAACAAAATGGTTGGTTCTATGGTGCCAACTAAAGAAACTTTATTCTGAAAAACTTGATTAATGTGATTTTCATAAATTTGTTCAGTAGGGTGGATTCATAAAGGTCATAATCTCTTCAACAAAATTCTACTTTATTTTATTTAATCTCATATCCATATAGACTGAAACCTTGAAACTGGAGAAATAAAATGACTTTCTTTGTTTATTTTTATAGTCTCTCCCAATCAAACTCACATTTATGAGTTTTTTTTTTCTTTTTCTGCCGGACACTTGACAAATAGAGTATTCCCAAGGATAAAAAAGTGCACTTTTGTTGTCTTCAAGTGGTAAAACACCACAAATGTTATTTTCAAATAACTATACCTATTTATAGGTACTATACATTGTTCACTCATAATTAACAAATTCCTTTCTGATTAGGTGATGGCATATGCAGTATGAATTTGGGAATCAATATTTTACGGTTCAATCTAAATATGCAAGACTAAAGCATAAAATTTTCTTCTTTTTTTAATTCTTTTAGAATGATAGTTTAAACTCCTCGTATAAAATTGATAATAAAAGCTCTTTGTGGCATCTTGTTGTCATCATTATAAGGTCAGTTAAAAGATCTCAGATGAATTTGATTAATTATGAATAGTTGGGAAAAAATTATTTCTATGAAATCTCACAACTCTTTTAATTTATGCATAAACAAAAAAGATGAGTTGATGTGATGAATTTATGTAACCGATTGATTAAATGATGGAATAGAAAAAATGATAAACATGGCGTATAGGACCTTCACATTAGTGCTAAATTTCCCAATGAGTATGGAATTGAAAATATTTTTTTCAAAGAAAGTATCGCTCTAGGGAAAAGTTTCCTTATGAGTAGTTTTAAAATTGGTTTAGTTTGAATAAGACTTGATGGAGGCTCAAATGAAGGTAGATTATAGTCATTTTATTTCAGATTAGTGGCTGGGTTGACATAGGATTTTGGATGGCTTAGGCGGTAGGTTCTTGACTTGGGTATGAGCAATTAAAAGTTGGGTAGTAAAATCCAACTCATCTCAACACTATTGTTGATCTTATGAAGTTACACATGTGACACCGAACCGGAGGGGCTCGACGAATCTAAGTCAACGATCTGGTGAGGGTTGTCAGACACCACTCCAAGAACTCCTTGGAGCAAGAACCCACCACCTAAGAACAAATCTTAGGATACAGGAATTCACAAGAGAATAAAACTCTGATTTTATTAATCTCCAAATCTCCCCTTTATTACAAGCATTGGCTATGCATTTATAACTAAATGAAGCAACATACTAGACTACACCAACAAAAGAAAGCATTACACATATATAGTCATACAAAATGTCATATGAAATTTAATGGCTCTGAAGTTTAACATGATCAATGGCTCGGCTCCGGCGTCATTCTACCGGGGTAGGAGGAACTTCAGACTCATATGAATATGCCCAGTTGGCCTCCATAAGGAGACGGATTTGGTTGCCTAAATCGATCTAGATATTCCCACCCGGTATCAATTTGCCTACCAATCTTTAATTTCTCGATTGTAGCATAGGCAGATGAAATTGGCTTATCATAATCCATGGAATTCAGAAACTCATTTATACCAAAAATGGTTACAGTGGATCTTATTTTTGGCTTTGCAACGTTGAGCGTTGCCCCCAACCCTATGAAAATACCATAACTGAGAATACAAACTTTGTCTAGAGGAGTAGATGGATCAAGCTTGGCAAAACAGCCATCATGAACTACTATGTATTCATGGAAGGTAGAAGTTCTGAGGAAGTGGTGAATGGAAGTTCCTTTTGCTGTAAATCTTGATCTTCCATCACTTAACATTATACTTCCATCAGTATTAATCCACAACAAATCACACATATTATTCTTTTCTGATTTACAATACACACATTCCTTACTTTCGCCTGTGAAGATAGGAAGAACATTGTCTCCTTCCTTGATTCCAATAACACCCTCACCAATGCATTCAACAATTTTTGTGGTTTTGTGGCCGAAGATGCGAGGAAATAAAGGAGTGATCCTTAGCCTCCCAGCAATAGAGATCGGTGCGACGAAGCGAAGCATACTTGATCTTATCATAATTATCATCTGTGGGTTGCTCCAGGTCAAAAACTCTATCGAACATGTCATCATCATACGTGTCGTACACAGGTTTATCGTAGAGAGGTAAAGATGACGAATTCGGCAACAGATCTTCAAGTCCTTCAAAAATGAACTCGATCGAGGGTGGGGTGGAAGACTGATGTTCTTTCAAACACATCTTCGTGGGTAGAAGAGATTTGATCATCTGAGATGCCCTTGCTATCATCAACTTTTCGTAAGGATTTAGTTGGAATGAGGGATCTCGAAGCCATTGTGGAAGCATACTTTCCTCGGACACCATTAAAGTCCCGACCAAGGGAGCTCAAGTTTTCTCTTCGTTCAATCCTTGATAGTCGTAGCTTGAGTCATGCCAATTCTTGTAGAAGATCTTCGATTTCTTCATATTGATGTGATCTTTGCATCGTGCACCGAGAAAGTATCTTGCTCTATTTTGGTGCTGATTTATGGACCAAGAATCAAGAATTATGTTGTTCTTGGCGCTCAGAATGACATCAGATGTGGGCACCTAACATGACGTCAAGATAGAACATGGTGGCTGGACCGTGGCTAATTTTATTTCTTTTATTTATTTGGGCCCTACAAACCACTTGACATCGGACATGCACGAACAGGTCTCGGCAAGGAAGATCTACAAGATCTTCAAAGAAAGCAATAGCCTCCAAAGGAAATGGGATGGACATCCAGCATTGAGCGGGAGAAATTGTTGAATCTAGTAATTAGGTTGTTAAGCCTAAGTGAGTGTCCCAAGGCTACCAGGAGGGGGGTTGAATTGGTAGTTTTAAAAAAGTTAAAATTTAAGACCCCCTTGAAATGTTAGTACACACAAGAGAAAATACAATTCTTCCAAAATTGTTAGGAGATAACTACACATTTGAACAATAATGTTTGAAATCATCAAAACTTTATAAGTTGCAAAAATGTAATGCATGCAAATAGCAACTATCTTAACAGAAATAAAACAGAATTAATGAGAGATACCACCTGACTTGACGGTATCCACGTCAATCAACAGATGCAGTGAAAGAAGCTTTGCCTCTTCGTGATAGCTATGGATGTTTTGGCCATAAGTATAAATTGGATAGCAGCAAGAATCCGATGATTAAAATCTGAATCGGATAGTTGCAAGAATTCGGTGATTAAAATCTCTTCCCGTTGTCCGCACACAAGAACAAAGAACTTTCTTTTGGTTTCCTTTTGAGCTTTCTTTCTTCCATCGAGGCTGACTCGCCACCAAAGACAGGTCGCCACCAAATGACGCCGGCGGCGGAGGCAACACGAGGATGGACAAGAACGCCAACAACTTACAGGCTCTGATACCAAATGACACCAGACCAGAGGGGCTCTACGAATCCACGTCGACGATCCGGTGACGGTCATCAGACACCACTCCAAGAACTCGGAGCAAGAACCCACCACCTAAGAACAAATCTTAGGATACAAGAATTCACAAGAGAATAAAACTCTGATTTTATTAATCTCCAAATCTCCCCTTTATTACAAGCATTGGCTATGCATTTTTAGCCAAATGAAGCAACATACTAGGCTACACCAACAAAAGAAAGCATTACACATATATAGCCATACAAAATATCATATGAAATTAAATGACTCTGAAATTTAACATGATCAACGGCTCAGCTCCGGCGTCATCTCAACACTATTGTTGATCTTATGAGGTTACACATGGATATCAAAGAAGTTGTTTTGAGCAGCTAGCATTTGAATGACTTCCTAGTGGCATTGAAAGGAGTTGTGGCTGTGGACGACTGGGGAAACTATAATGGGAAGTATGGATCTTTAACTGATTTTCTAGTGGTGCTACGATAGAGATGGAGATGAAAAATAACCATAGGATTAGGTCAATTTTTCTTTTTTTTCTCTATATTTCTCTTTATTTGCTTTTTCTTTCATGATATGATAAGAACAAAACGCTAGTTGAAGTATTCTAATGGTTTACTTAAGGTTGATGATTAAGTTTTATAGACGGAATGCTGAGATTGAGCTTTGATGCTAATTGTTTGTTGCTAATCAACAAGTATGCCTCTTTGGTAGTAGTTGACCTATGATCAATAGGTACATTTCTTAGAAGTTCAAGGATAATTATCTCAATGATAACAAAATTAAAGAAAGATTAGAAAGAAACCCATTGAGGTCAAGAAAATCTACCTCACAACAAATTCATTTTAATATTTGAACTCTTTTGTATCAAAGGGGCTATAATAGTGCTTTATTATAAAGGAAAACCACATATTAAACTATTTATAATTCTTCTTCCTTCTCATTGATTGAAAAGAAAAAGCTAAAAAGAACAAAGTTATATGATTAGAAGTTAATCAAAAAGAGAACAATGGATATAAAATAATGTTTAACAGTAGATCTAAAAATTTCGGGAGTCCTGCTAGAAAGTTTAAAGCTCTTCTTTTCTACAAGGTTTGATACACATTTATTTTCATGACTAGAATCTATGCAAAAATAACCTTGCTAAATTAAGTAATTGTAAACATAGAAGTTTTCCTACTGAAGAAAAATGACAATTGAAAGAACTAAGAAGTTTTAACAGTACATCATTGTCAGAATTAACACGAATAATGTGGAATATTGTCTGCATCAAAATTTGTAGCAAATAATAAATTAATTTAAAGTCCGTGAATTGAAAACATGATTGTTGAATTACATTTTGTTTGAATTTTTAATACAACTCTGTCCTTATTTGGCCATTTTTTGTCATCAGTGGTTTGACCTTAGAGAGTTCTAAATTTATTCCATAATTTTATAAAAATTTTATTTGCATTATTTTTTTAAGATCCTAAATATATGGTAATACAATATAGATGCTTTTGAACTATAATCTTACATCACCTTTTTCCAAGAAAGCATATTTTTTAAATAGAAAATTTAACTTTTTGTTTAACTAAAGATTACTATATTATATATTTCCTTGTTTGATTATTTTCTTATAGAGAACATTTTAGAGGGTGAATTTTGAATACTAGTTAAGTTGACTCAAAGGCCATGAGTTTGAATCTCAAAAACAACTTCTCTACAATATTGTGATAAAGCTAACCAAGTCAACATTTCCTTAGACTTTACTTTTGCACATGCATATGAATGACCATTATTGACCACTTTGTTCATTTTTATTCCTCTTTTTTTACTTTATGGATATATATATATATATATTGAAAGGCTGGGCAAACCCTTGTCATTGAGGAAAAGCAAAGGTTACAAAGTGATTATAAATAGAGTGATTGCAAATGAGTTAAAGTAAACACTTCAAAGGAATATTTAGGAAGAAATATAAAGGAGTTGTATTGGACTGGTAGAAAAGCGAGTATCCTCCATATTCATAATGATATTAATCGATGTCCTTACAAAAAAATTATGAATCCAAAAGTAAACAAGATGAATAATGTTTAAGCAAAGGAATTTCTCCTATTTCTTAGTATTATAAAAACATCTAGCATTTCTCTTTATCTAAATCACATACATGCAAGAGCAGAAGAAGGCATCCCAAAGATCTCTGAATTTTTTTAATGAAAATGTCTTTGATATGTGAAAATTGTTCTAAGTTCACGATATGTAAGGTAATGTTTAAAATGTTTTATAATCTCTTTCATATGTTAGATATATGAGCACACTCGGAAAAAAAAAAGGAAAATTATCATCCTGCTAGTCCATACAAGAGTTGCAAAGAGCAAATGACAATATCATACAAAAAAGAGATATTTTGTGAGAAACCTTTTCATGAAAAGACATTAGGAAAGCACTTAGATTCCAAGAATTGCAAGAATTAAGGACAATATTAATAATAAATTATTAAAAAGAGCTGACAAATATTATACTAATAGGAGTCCAGATGGGATTTCATGTTGAAGGTCTAGCTTAAGAATAGTGATTAGTAAGAAAGAGTTCCTTGCAATCATTTAAATAAAATGGAATGTTAGTTCTCAGAAACTTTGTCACACTATCAATTGAATAAGAATAAGTAATAAAGCTGTTGTGATTCCTGACTTAATCCAAAAAGTAACGAGTTATGCAGTTTCCAAGAAATTTTCAGCCATATGGAATTAAAAGTTTTGAAAATCCCTCTAAATTGGAGCAAAATGAAACATTTCTAGACTGGAAATACAAAGGAGTTGATATGCCAAAATACTTGTCATGAATAATATAACTAGTAGAATCTTGGTTGGGTTATAAAGCCTTTCAAATCCATTTACATAAAAGAGAAATATTCATACTATGAAAGTCTTTGATGCCAGTGCGTCCGTTATCCTTGGGTATGCAAACATACTTTTTGTTGATAAGATGTGACCACTGTAATCCTTAACTCTCCTTCAAAAGAAGTTCCTTTTAATGTGATCAATCTTCCTGATGGCCCAATTGGGAATATAAAATAAAGTGAAATAGATTAGAGGCATAGAATATAATGTCGAATTGATAAGAACACTCTCACCACCTTTAGATAAGAATTTTCTTTTCCAAGCAATTTGTTATGTTTTATCAATAATTGATTGACACACTTGACTTAATTTTTTTTATTATTGTTATATATAATAAATGATTTACATGCATGTTTTATATCCTATGCCATGGATATGGTGTCTTGTTTTGTTCACTACAAAACTAAAAGCAGTTAATTCATTAATCCTTTTTGTTAACCAAATGCAATTTCAGAACTTGTTTGCAATTGTAATTTTATTTCAACATATTCCAGGCACCATTCTGACACGTAAACTTGATGAGAGGAAAAAATATTTTGAAGACAAATATAATAGATGTTTTAACACAATGGATAAGGTAAGAATGTTCTGCCAATACGGTTGGTGATGTTTTTAATCTTAGATTGAATCATCTTACTGCTATATTATATATGTTAGTTTAATGGTGGATTTTTAAATGTAACTCTATGCTTCCATGTAAATATGTGGATGCCTCTAGCTGCATGTGAAGCGGAGCTTGGAAACGATGATGCAATAACAGTTTTATCATTATTTTACTGTCTTTTAATATTTTTTCCCAAAGGATTTCACCATATATTGTAAGAATTCTTTGGCACTTTTGAACTTTCTCTCTCTTGAAAAGTAAAGACTTATTTATATGCCTTTTGTTGTAGTAAGAATTTAACATAGCAGTTAATTTCACGGCAAATTATTGCATCCGGTCACCTGACAGAGAGATACGTTCGGATCTCTCTGTCTACAGTAAAGCGCAGGTACTGTAGCAGCTGCTACAGTACCTGCGCTTTTACTGTAGACAGAGAGAGATCCGAACGTATCTCTCTGTCAGGTGACCGGATGCAATAATTTGCCTAATTTCACGCAAGAGTTATGAGGGAAACAATGTTACTTTTAGTGCTACAGTACCTGCGCTTTTACTGTAGACAGAGAGAGATCCGAACGTATCTCTCTGTCAGGTGACTGGATGCAATAATTTGCCTAATTTCACGCAAGAGTTATGAGGGAAACAATGTTACTTTTAGTGGAACCAGTAGATTGCCATGTTTATCAATTTTCCTGCAATGGCTGGCCTCTCAATTTAATATTATAATGATATAATGTATATTTTGCAAACAAATTCTGTTGTTGCATTTCCAAGGGTGCTGCTGATGTTGTGTTTGATAGGACATTTTAATTTTGTTTGTTATTTGTGGTTTTTGTTAGTGTGCATAAAGAGCTACATAAATATGTTTCGCATGTCAGTTGAAAACAGAAATAATTTTTAATCATGAAACTTTTTTTGTTATGATAAGCTCCTTGGGGTTCATAACAAACTAACCAACAATAATTTTTATAATCCTAATTAACTTAAATTAATTTTAAATTTAATGGTATTGTGTTACTAATCTAGGCTAAAACTCTCATATATACTAATATTTTGTCTAAAATTATCACCTTTCCCTTAATTTTTAAAAAATGAATAGTATTTATTATAAAAACAATACCAATATATGTTTTATAACAATTTGGTTCCCATTGCTTCTTCGTCAGTCTCGATGCTGCTAGGAAAAACAATTAAGTTTTACTTGAATTGTATGCTGGTTTGCAATGTCGTATCATTATTCTACAGTTAAGCCCCTGTGGTGAATTTTTTTAAATGAACCGCAACATATGAATGAATTATGTATTGTTGAAGATCTATTGCGTAATGGGCTTATAGGAAGCAAGTCCCGGTGTAGGTAGAGGCGCCTTGTTTTGTGAGGATTGAATGATATAATTGCATTTAATAAATCCACAACATGATTTTTCAGGTCATTGATACTTAATTTGATGCTGAAAAATATATTTGGAACAATTGCTTTGGTTCAGGTTGACTCAGAGGCGATGTTTGTTGGTAAGGCCGCAATTGCAAATTTACTTGGGGGAATAGGCTACTTCTATGGTCAATCAAAAATTGCCATTCCCAAGGGCTTTACTGTAAGTAAGAGTTCATACAACCCCTTCAGGTCTCTTACACTTTCTGTTTGTTTTTGTTTATTGGGCATTACTTGTTAATTTGGGAATTAGTTGAGATCTAATTTAAGTCATTGAAAGCAAATAAAAATGAAAGAAAATCAACTCATAAAAGAATTTTATATAGTTTCACTGAAGTGATGGTTACATCCTATTGCCTCTGCTGCAGATTTCACTATGATAATGACTATGAAGTTTTGCATTTTTAATCTCTCATGCATATAAATTAATCATGACACCTCTTTTATAATGGAAAAACTAAAATAGCCGAAAAATATAGTGAAATTTTCAAAATGCTCTTAGTGAGACTGTTCACAAATATAGTGAAAGCCGATCCACGATTAAGTTTGCATAAGAATTTTCTTCATATGGCATAAATTATGCTCTACAAATTAACGAATGCTACCTTTTGTATTGCGCCGTGGCTTCCTTATGTGACTATATATGAAGATAATCCAAGTTATGATTTATTGATAATACGTATTATTCTCAGCTTGATGATTGCTTATCTTTGTATTATCTCTGTTTATTTAGAGATTATGTTTCCCATAATTTGTAGGAAGTTTAACTTATCAACTGCTTTATTCAAATGAAAGGATGAAGGAAAAGAGATTTAGGATAGGGTACATAATAGGTATTGATTTTTTTTATATGTAATTATTAGGACAATTTGGAGGCATTTTGATCCTATTTCTATGGTCAATCAAAAATTGCTCTTCCCATAACTGTTCTTGTAAAACTTTTCACAATTTAATTTAATTTTTTGATAATTTAGAAGCTGTTTTCCATGGCCATGTAAAACTACACAGGTTTACCGTTGAAAAATTTCAACATTGTGGATTGGCTTACAGTTTGGAAAAAATAGTTAAACTATAACTTTTTTTTTGCTTTCAAGAAAAGTAGTCTATTGTCCTGAAATTTGTCAAACAAAAATTTCTAAAAGTATTTTAAGTAAAGAAAGCAGGAATTAGCGCATGAGTGATTCTGATGCTGACTTAGCTTGCGTTTGGTAACTATATTTTCGGGAATGGTGAAGGGAAGCAATTTTTATGTAAAAAAGGAAATAGATTTTGTGAAACCTGTTTTTTAGAATGGAGCAATCCCAATGGTTCTTTGAGTAGTGCCGTTCAAAAACAGCTAGATATGGATTTTGGTTCCTTGAATCAAGCTGGCAATTCTTTAAGCTAATTGCAGGTTGGCAGTTCACATTTTTCCAACCTAGCTACCAAAACTAAAATTTCTCCAATTTAAGGTTGATGGTGCATATGAATAGAAGAGTTATTTTGGATAAAGCTTGTCTCTTACCACATCTGATTGGTCTCATAGGACAAGTGCACAATGCCTGCATCCACTTATTCATACCATGAATATCATGTCAGATATTACTTATCATCAGAAAATTTAGTGACGCCAGCATACTTACAAGTTTAGTTTCTCTTTCAGCAGAAGAATGGGGAAAAAATCATGTCATACTGGCCAGCTGCACTATATACCGCAGTTCCAAGCCGCTCGTATTTCCCTAGAGGTTTCCTATGGGATGAAGGTTTCCATCAGTTGCTTATTTGGTTAGTAGCCTAGCATTTATCTAATTTCCGTTTTGCTGATATAATGATTATTCTTTGGAATTTCATCCATGTATGGCATTCTAGTCTACTGGTTAATTTCTCTATGCCTGTGATTTGTGGTGATGTATGTTGTATATTTTTGGAATTTCAAGGCGTTGGGATATCGAGATATGCTTGGATATAATTGGCCATTGGTTGGATCTGATAAACGTGGATGGTTGGATTCCTCGTGAGCAAATCCTAGGAGCTGAAGCTTTAAGGTAATATACTCTCATATCTTATGACTTGTTCTAAACTATAAAAGGCACTTAACAGTCTGCGTAATTCCTATCATTGCAATTGTAGCAAGGTTCCTGACGAATTTGTCCCTCAACATCCCTCAAATGGAAACCCACCTACATTATTTTTTGTTCTTCAGGGTAAGCTTTTCCTAATTTATATCTTAGCAAAAGAAAACTGTTCAGTCCGGTTTTGTTATATGAGTTATCTTTAGAATATGGAGGGCATCACTTTTTTTTTCCAACAAAGTTTGTTGATTGAATAATTTATTCTGCAATACTAACCAACTTGACATAGGCTATATTTTTAGGAAAATGTTTTTTCTTTGGGATATCCATGGTCCATAGTCTTAATAAGAAAAACTATTTCAAAACGTGCAACCGAGAAAATATTTTGATTATTGTTATCGTATTTTGTGATTTGTGGTAGAGTTTCCATCCTGATGATTTTATGGATCGGTGGGAATGTTTTTACATGCAAGGGTTTGCCAGTGCAAATATTCTTACTTTGTATTAGGAGGTCCACATAATTGATTTGATAAGCACTTGCTAAGATTAAAAGAAAGGAATTAATGATATAATTTCTCTGCCTCTCACATTGTGATTGCTGTTTTGCTAGTTTTCTTGCTGTTAACTATTTATGAATTAATTTTCAGTCTAAAAGAAAAACAATTATATAAGTAGCCAGTTAAACCTCATTTTTCTTGAAGAAACAAGATGTTATGAATAATATATATAAGCTTAGCAAGCAGTAGAATAAATGCTAATTGTTTGGATTTTTAGTAGTTTTGTGCTAGTCTATAAGTTTTGTTTATCATTTTTCTTGAAATTGTCTTTCACTCTGCGGATAGTCACTTTATTATTTTGTTAAGTTTGAAGTCTTAAGAAATTTGAGATTTTTGGATTTGATTTTAAGAATGTTGCCCTTTTCTTGGTTTTAATATCTTGGTTTGATTAAAACCATGTTCCGTAAGAGCATGAAAACACCCCCCCCCCCCCCAAAAAAAAAACCCCCAAAAAAAAAAAAAAGTATCATTATTTATATTATAACTTGCTAAAAAAATCGATCCCAAATTTCTATATTTCGGTCAATGATTTGTCTATGGTTGACGAGAGAAAGAGGTATTCGAAGGCTCATCTTGCACCTATACTTTATCTACTTGCTGAATTTGTGGTATTAGAGTCTTACAGTCTGGAGAGGAGATGAAACAGTGGTAACTATATACACCTCTTAACGACAAGTGGAGTTGCTTCACTGAATGGTGGAAACTCTTCCGTTGCACTCTTCCAGGCCTTTAAGAGGAGATTGATCAATTGGAAAGCTTAATAGGAGGTATGATTTGCTGGAAAATTATTTTGGTTAACTACATGGCTTCAGTTAGCTCCCCTGGTCTTTCTAAACAGAAGTTTGATATGGAAATCAAACTTAACCTTTTTGTAGAGCCAAAAAACTTGATTGTACAATCAGCCATCAAAATATTGCTGAACGGATGCTAATCGTCATATGGTCAATTGAGAAACATATGATAAACCTTGAAAGACACATTAGATAGTGAAAGAAGTCAGCCTCATACGACAGGGGATTGTGCTCCTTTTCAATATTAAACTATCAGAAAAAATAGTTTTTCATCTTAAAGAAGATTATGCAGGTACTAGAATCTTAGAACTGGCTTGGAACAATCTCTATGTCATCCATTGACATGAGACGAGCTTCTTTGCTATTAAATTGTAAGTTTAAAGCGAAATTGAGAAAAAGGCATAATTCAGAGCTCTACGTTTTCTAAGTTTGATAATCCACAGTACTAGAGCAAAGTTAATTCAAAAGACCCACATTTCTTTTGCGATTTAATGTAGGCAACTTCAGAAAAAGGATGCTGAAAAGACTTATTTGTAAGAAAAATGATACCCCAATTTAAAGTTATGGATCCTAAACTTGATGTTCCTATTTGATATACAAGAAACAACCAATTTTTCAATTGAACAGTTAGTTTGGTGATCATATTTAAAGAATAATCAAGCTGGTCAATTACTCTAAGTGTAGTTTGTGTGGCGAATAGAAAAACCCAAAAATATAACCTCCTCGCTTTTTGATGCTCGTGAAAGCAAAAAGTTCTGAAGAGTTACACCAAGAAAGAAAACAGGCTGAACGCCTGCAAGCATATGCAAAAGGAAAGAATAAATCAAATCGTGTTTAGTCTTTGCATGGGAACTAACGTTACAATGCTAAACATTGTCATAATTATATGTTCTCAATTGTTTTATGGCTTACATCGTCATAGTCGAGGAGGACATCTTTCAGCAAGGAGTTGATTATTTAAAATTGATACCACCACTTTTGCAGCATGTAGTGTATGTTGTCAGATTGAACTAGTAGGGAGTGGATATATTAATATCTTAAAAGAGATTTTTTTTTGGCGGTTGATATCCAGTGTTGTAGAAGTTTTGGGAAACAAGGAGTTAGAGTTCATTGGCATTGTTGAAATTTATGAAAAAAAAGAAAAAAGAATGTGAAGTTCTAAACATTTCTTACATTCGATATTCTTTATCTATTGTTAAATTTCCTAAGATGAACTCACTCATTTTAGAAATGATGGTTGGTTGCAATAATTTAAACAAAAAATAGAAACTTGCTTTAATAAAACCTTGTTCATTTTTAAGCTTATTCTTTATTGCTAGAATTCAAATTGGTCCTGTAGTTTTGTTACACTTCTAACATAGTACGAGTAAGGGGATACATTAAAAAACAAGATATGCTTTTAAATATATAGGTAACATAGTTTTTATTTTATAAAACATTGGCTTTCTGATGACCTGGTTAGGAGAGTAGATGTATTAAATTTGGCCTATATTAAGAGAAGTATGGGTAGACCTAAAAAGACCTGGTTAGAAAATATTAGAAATAACATTTTTATTAGATATAAATGAGAATTACTCTTAACAAGAAACAATGGAGAAAAATAATTTATGAAACTAACCTCACGTAGTGGGATAAATATTTGATGTTGTTGTTGTATAGTTTTTATTTTATTTTTTTAGAAGTTCTGTTACTAGGTGTGTATGATAATCATTTTCTTAAAATTGAAAGTATAATTGCTTAGATTAAAAGAATGAATATAGTAAAACTTAGATTGATCATTTTTTTATAATAAAATTGATGATTTAGATTGCAAAATTTGTAGTCATTCCAAGTGAAAGTTTATGTACCCAACATTGCTCATTAATTTTAGACTTTAAGATGAAAGGGTGGAATAAATAAAATAAAGTAACATATTATCTTAGGATTAGATAGAGATATTTAAACAATATTAGTAAAAATATTTTAAGAGTAAGATTCAAGATCTTAAGATTTGTGTTTTAGTGAGAAAACTAATGTTTTGTAGAAAAAGTAGCCAGTGATATTAAGAAGGTTGTAAAATATGTGCTTGGAGAATCAAAAGGAAAAACTCCTAATGGTGGTGGAATAAAAAATGCAAAATAAAAAGTTTTGTTATAAAAATTAGTTTAGATGTAAAAGCTTAGAAAATTGAGAAATATATAGAGAGGTCCGTACGAACTCTAAGAAATCAATATGCGATGCAAAAAATTTAGGTTTTATAGATTTATGTAATAGATTATATACCAAGGAAGACAAAAGATGTATGTATAAGTTAGCTAAACAAAGAGATGGGAAGGTTCTAGTTCAAGTGAAGTGCATTAAGGATGAAGATAAAAAAGTAATTTTCTTAGAAGATGATATTCATCATAGGTGGATGAGATATTTTGATAAGCTTTTCAATGCTGATTGTGAGAATACAATTGATTTTATTGTCCTTAGCACCCTAAATGAAAATATATATTTTTATTTTTATCGTCATATTAGTAAAATTGAAGTTGGAGAAGCTTCACAAAAAATTAAGTGTTAAAAAGTAGGACTTGATGATATTCCAATAGAGGTGTGGAAATGTTTTGGAGATAAATGAATTCATTGATTTATTCAATTTTTTAATATGATTTTGAAGACAAATGATGCTAGATGAGTGGAGAAGGAATATGTTAGTTCCTATTTTTTGAATAAAGGTGATGCATAAGAGTGTGTGAATTATAGAGGAATTAAGTTAATGTGTAATATATTAAAATTATGGGAGAGAGTAATTGAGAGTAGGTTACATCGTGATACTTAGCTTTCTGAAAATTAATTTGGATTCATACTGGGTAGGTCTTTTATGGAAGCTATACATTTGTTAAGAGGTTTCATGGAGAAGTATAGAGAAAGTAAGGAGGATCTACATATGATATTTATTGATTTAGTGAAAGTATATGATAAAGTTTTTAGAGAAGTGCCCTTGATGGTTCTAGAAAAGAAATGAGTTAATAATGTTTATATTCTAGTCATTAATGATATGTGTGTAGGAGCTGTTGCTTTTGTTCAAACACAAGGTAGTTTGACCAATTGTTTTCTTATTTCAGTTGCATTACATCAAGGATTAGCTTTAAATCTAGTGGTGGGTTTATGATTTTTGGTGATAAAGTCATTAAAATAAATGCAAGTTTTAGATATCTCAGGTCTATCGTTCAAAGTAGCGGTGACATAAATGAGGATATTATTAGTAGAATTTATGTTGGATGGTTGAAGTGGAGGAGTGCATCGGGCCTATTGTGTGATAGAAAAGTATCCATCAAACTTAAGGAAAAATTTTATAAGATGCTAGTGGGTCCTGCAATGCTTTATGGCGCATAATGTTGTCCATTAAAAGAGAATTTTAAAATTAAGTTAAGTGTTACAGAGATGAGGATGCGCAGAGGTGGCTTTACACTTAGAGATAAAATACGAAACGAGTATATACATAAAAAGGTTGGAGTAGCTCCAGTGGCAGATAAGATTAGAAAGAGTTGCATTAGATGGTTTTGTCACATAAAGTGTTGGCCTTCTGATGACCTGGTGATGTGAAACCAGGAATTGGATTTAGAAACTTAATAAAATATTGTTCAAGTAGTGAAATTGCAATCTTAATGTTGTTCACAATTGAAACTTATCAGAGATCTTAGAATTCAACTACGCTTATGCAAGAGCTTACACCTAAATTAGCAAGATCTATAAAATAACGACGGTAATAAAAGTAAAGCAAATGAAAAGCCAACTAGAATCCCGCGGTTAACAAAGC